GGCTGTGTGTCAAGCATATATGCATGAGAGTAGTAGAATGAAGGGGAGGATTTATTTTGTAGAGTATAGTGTAAGTTTTCTTATATAGATGTATGCAGTGTTTTTAATTAAGGTTTGTGTAGTATAGTCTCAGTGTCCTTTAAGATGCACAGAATAGTGTAATGGTTAAAGGAAACAATAAAATGTATGATAAGTCCAAATTTCTTCTTTAAACATTCTTACTTATTTAGAACATTTTGTTGCATCACACAACACAAAATAAAACCCCTCCCTCTCCCCTCCCAAACAAAAAAAAGCTGAATCCAACTAAATTGTCCCTCCCAGCTACCTTACAATCAAGATGGCGGTGAAGATAACAAAAATGGGGATTTATTTATCTTGTATTGTGCCTAACTTGTGGCTCTTGACATATCGGGAATGGAATTAATCTGCAGATTCTCAGGTTCAAGATGACACCAAACTTTTCTATGTATGTCCTTTTTTTAGCCAACACAAAGGCCAAAATGTGGCATGCAACAGACTGGGTAAGCCATGGTTTTAGCCTAGCCGATTGCCATTTTGCTGTGTCGTAACGCATAATGTAAAATGGAGAAACCTGCTGGAGAGACGAAAGTCTAAGCTTTACAATTGGCTCAGTCAGTAAATTTTTTTTTTCAAAAATCACCGCAACCATGAGAGGTCCTTGAGCATACATCATAAATGTGCATAAAAAAAAATATTAAGCTAAAGGAATGTTCCTCTCCAAGCCAGGATATATCCACACTATAATGTTTTTGTTATCTGAGGGAGATAATAATGACAAAAATTCACAACATCAGTAGTATTTATTACAGAAGTGTTGTGTTGGATAGCATTACAATGTACAAGGTAGTATTGTGGTCATTCCTAGTATAACTATAGCCTACTATCTACTATACTAAACTATACCTAATAGAAAAAAGGAAGTGTATATTTCATGTATTGTGTAGCCCTCTATCTGTATGTTTCTTATGGAATATGTACAGGCTGTGAAAACAAATCCTGGATTATAAAGACTATCTATGTTTCTAGATGTTGAAATCTCTGACTTAAATTAAGTTTCATTTGGTGTCAATGATAAGGGGACTAGAATGCCGCAGTAGACAAAATAAGAAAGAAAACACTGGTAAATTACAGAGCATCATATGTTTAATCTCCCTCAGTTTTTATGTGCAAACATAAAATGTTATTCATGACACTTACCCCCTCCCAACAATGATACTGTAGTACTACCACCCATACTATTCTAGATTACACTATACAAACAGCATCTTATTTCTCATTAAAGATAGCGTAACCATGCTGACATTTGTTTTAGAGATTAAAAATCATAAATTAGATGTTACAAAGCTTAAAGATCAGCTTATGGATCAGTTACAGGTAAATGTAACTGTACATTTTTTGCCGTTTATAAGGGTGTGCATTGTCAGTTTTTCAGTCAAAGGCATAAATAACATGTTTTCATTAGTGCACCATACACATTGCAGTGTATTGAAATGTTTCAGCAACTTTCCATTGTATTTATGATTTTAGATTTAATCCACTAACATAGAGCCATTTTTAGCCCTATTTAACCTTAAAATGGCAAGTTCATTTCTCTACAATTAATGTTTTTAAATGAATACCCTTGTTCTTTCCATTAACACTGGATGTCTCTTTACTTTTAACAAGCGTTTTTCCTGAGTGATAATTTGGCACTGACCCCATTATTTTCCCCAATCGCATCTCACTAGCATTGCCATTTGGCCACCCATAATGCATCATTTCAAAACATGATGTGAAAAAAAGTGCACTTGCTCTAAAGGTAACGTAACCCAATCAGCCATAACATTATGACTACCTGTCTAATATTGTATAGGTCCTCCCTTTGCTGCCAAAACAGCCTTCCTCAAACTGTTCCTGAACCATTTTTGTTTTGTGGCAGGGTGCATTGTCCTGTTGAAAGAGGCCACTGCCATCAGTGAAAACTGTTTCCATTAAGGGGTGTACATGGTCTGCAACAATGCCTAGGTAGGTGGTACATGTCAAAGTAACATCCACATGAATGGCAGGACTCAAGGTTACCCACCAGGACATTGCCCAAAGCATCACACGTCCTCCAACGGCTTGCCTTCTTCCCATAGTGCATACTGGTGCCATATGTTCCCCAGGTAAGCGACACACCTGGCACCTGCCGCCTGCCACCTGGCCATCCATGTTATATAAAAGAAATCATGATTAGACCAGGCCACCTTCTTCCATTGCTCCGTAGTCCTGATGCTCACATGGCCATTGTTGGCATTTTTGGCAGTGGACAGGGGTCAGCATGAACACCCCTGACTGGTCTGCAGCTACGTCACCACCCATACGCAACAAACTCCTTTCGATCAGAACTCGCGTCAACCTTTTCAACAGTAGCTTTTCTGTTGGATCAGACCACATGGGCCAGCCTTCCCTCTCCACATGTATCAGTCAGCCTTGGCCACCCCTGACCCTGTCACCAGTTCACTGCTTTTCCTTCCTTGGACCACTTTTGATAGGTACTGACCTCTGCAAACTGGGAACACCCCACAAGAGTTTTGGAGATGCTCTGACCCAGTTCTAGCCATCACAATTTACCCCCTGTCAAACTGGCTAAGGATCTAACATATCAGCTTTGCTTCTAACACATCAACTTTGAGGACACAATGTTCACTTAATGCCTAATAAGTACGTACAGGTGCCACGGTAACCAGTTAATCAGTGTTTTTTACTTCACCTGTCAGTGGTCATAGTGTTATGACTGATCGGTGTATAGTTGTTCTCACTTGACTATTTTGTTTTTTTCTATTTAAGCTGTTCTAATAATTACAAATGTTAAAAGCTCAATGATCAATGTAAAAATCTAAGCAGGAGGTTTCGGAAGATATGCCTTGCTCTAAATGTCTCTTTCACACTATTAGACTTAACCATGTAATGTACTATACCATACTTCACTACACAATATCCTTTACCAAACATATCACCAATACACAGTGAACTGAGGCACTGCTAATAATAAAGAATCTTTGTCTGAGTGTTACTTGGATAAAGTGATGCTGTATACCAGCGTGGAGAAAGGCACATCATAAAAACAGCATTATATTAAGTTGCCATCAGCTTTAACTTTCCTTCCTTACTCAATACAATTAAAGATACAAGTTTATTCTGGTATTACTATACCATACTATATTGTACTGAACTATACCACAAAATGCAATACCATAGCATACTTTACCATAAAACATGATCTCAGTCCGCTCTCTGCCATTTAAACAATATTCCAGGGAGAGCACACATGTCAGACTCCAATTTACACTATTATGTGAGCATGATAACTATAATAGTGGCTGTCCTCCTGATTCACGTATTTGGCAGGAAATCAAAGTCATATCCAGGTGTTCAGTATGATGTCAGCCATCTGCGTGTGTACACACAAACAGATGTGGGGCATGGATGACAGATAATCTCTCTACAAAGAGCTTTTACCTCACATATCTGAGTGCAGTGACAATATTTCGGAGGCAGTCCAAATGACATCACTGTCAGGTTCAGACAGTACATTCATAATTTACTCAATGTGTGTATATGTGCGGTAAACCTATGTACTGTACAGTATGTTTAAGGTGGCTTTTGAAGAAACAAAACAACTGTATAACTCTAGTATAGTACAGTACAGAATTGTATATTGTATAGACGTGAATATTATTGTATTCCCCTTCTCTTCAGTTCTCTTTTACTTTGAGGTTAGGGTTTATGCTTCTTAGTGAGGCTGCATTTGAAGCTGCGGCCCAGCTTCATGGAGCAGCCATCCGGAGGATCTGAGGAAAGTGGATAATGTTGACATTAACTTGCCTTTACTCTGGTTTATTAATTCGCCTTTCTATATACTCTAGTAGCCTTCTAGTTTTAGTATTGTGTTGCTTACAAGTCTTTCGGACATGTATGGCTCTGGAAATCTTGTAACAAAGCAAAACTCTTGCATTTACTTGTACAAAAAGATCTCTATTAATAAGATATTATATTCTTAACTCTTTGTTTTATTCTATAATTATATTATAATACTGGCCCTGCGATGGACTGGCGACTTTCGCCCGATGTCAGCTGGGATTGGCTCCAGCCCCCGCGACCCTGTACGCAGGATAAGTGGTTAACGATGGATGGATGGATATATTATAATACTCTATTCTACTGTTTTTTGTTACTCTCTACTATATTCTATTTTATTCTATTACTTCTTCTTAACTTTATTCAGTTATATTCTACTCTATTAGTCCCTGCTAAAGTCTAGTCTATTATATTCTATTACCCTCTCCTACTGTATATACCATTCTAATCTATTATATTACTCCCTAGTACATACTATTCAGTTAGTCTTAACTGTATTCTATTATATTCTTTTATATGCTATGCCTGTGTCCTCTACTATATTCTAGACTATTTGATTATGCTCTTGTATGTTATATTCTGTTCTATCACTCTCTACTATATTCTAGCCTATTGTAATTGCTAACCCCTATATTCTACTCTAATCTATTCTTTTATTTTCTACTTTTGTTTTTCAATTCTATTACTCTCCACTACTGTATGTTCTGTTCTATTCTAATCTATTTTATGATTTTCTAGTATGTTCTATTAAATGCTATGCAATCACTCTCTACTATTATTCTGTTCAATTCTATTTGATTACTGTCTTGTATGTTCTATTCTATTCTATTTCTATCTATTCTTTTCTATTACTCGGTTCTATATTATATTCAACTCTTCTCTCTCTATTCTGTCTACTTTTATACATAACGTTGATGATTTCTGTCCGCACTGAGCTTTAAAAAGCTCAGAACACATTTAGTGAAATGCAGCATGCCTGCTCCTACGTGCATTCTGAATGAGGCTAGTAGTCACATTTGCGTATAACAGAAGCACCGCCTCCCTCCCATTGGACAATGTCTACGTGAGGGCGTGGCAAGGAAAGATGAGAGTTGCAAATCCATGCCCTTACTGGGAAGACATGGAGCGCTATGGACACAGTCTACACGAATCAAGTAGGAATCTCAACTAAAGACATCCATATTTCTCCAGTTAGGAAAGAAACGTTTTGAGAGACTGAGAGGAAAGAAGGGTGGCCCGGTTGAGGATGGAGTGTGCATTTGACGCACAGAATCTGATCTCCATTTCTTTGAGAAAAATCCAAAGCTCCAGGACGCAGAGAGGAGGCATCAAGCTCCACAAGAACTTACTGGTAACGTACGTACTGAGAAACGCCAGGCAGTTTTATATGAGCAAAAACTTGTCGCAAACGCAGAGGACGCATCATTATGAGAATGTTGCTGCAGTCCGCCAAAGGCAAGAATATCTTGAATTGACTGGAAGCTTAACGGAGTTGGCCGATGACTTCTACTGCAACTTTACTGAGGATGAGTCGGACACTTGGCACTGCGGAGCGCACCAGCCCATCGGCCAGCCTGCAGAGGTGGCGCACCAAGACGCATCTGCCTGCGCAATGGTTTCACCAAGTGACTCTGACCTCATGGTTTCGGAAGCCTGTTGGAGTTGTGCAGACAAATCCTCCTGGGAGTTACCTATCCCAATCGCACAAGCCAACCAAAAGACCGTCCTGGACTTGGACACGCATGTGGTGACTACTGTCACGAATGGATACTTCCACTCAGACTGTTGCGCGCAGTCAAAACAGCCGCAGGGCGCGCAGTGCTACAGTAAAAAGCGAAAGATGGACACAAGTTATCATATTGTTGATCCAGAGTTTTATCTGCCAGACTTTGGACCAGTGCCATGTAAACGGCTGAGGACTGATGATGATTCACATTCAGACACGGACCAGTTGGACAGCACAAACATATCCAACCTGATCTCAGTCTTGGGTTCAGGGGGACTATCTGAGTTTGTGAGTTGGCAGCAGACAGACCTTGAGCAAATATTCGCCGCTCAAACAATTTGTTTAAAACATACACTGTTAACAGGCAGCGGTTGGACCAGAGCAATTGAAGCATTTTGATTTGTATGATTGTTTTTCTTTGTATCGTTTTATTTTATTGCTTTTAAATAAATGATGACACGACTGCAATTCTCTCTCTCATCTGTTACTGAAAAATGTTGATGAAATGTTTATATAGAGCGATAATAGGGCTTACCCATTACTTTTGCACATTAATATTTCTCGTGCCGATTAATATAATTTCTATAAATAACTGTGCCTTTCATTTAAACCTTATTTACTGGTGATTCGTTTGGGGTACTGGAGTCTGTATTCGGTTTGTATTTCCGTAGGAAATGAGTTCACACTGTTTCTCTGGATGTTGGACGAGCTCCATCATGTGGCAAGTAAATATCTGTACAGCCTCATGCTCCAGGTCAACGCAGAATATTATTCCCGAAAATGTATTATTTATTTCAGGGCTTGCTTTTATGAATCAATAAAATTAACTTCATTTTAAAACACGGACGTATTGGCTTTAAATTGCAACTTGAACTTGTTAGGTGTGCACAAAAGAGGGTTTATGATTCAATCATTCAATCTATGGGCTTTATAATGACCTTGTATTTATTTTACATTGCTATTTCATTTTACCACTCTTGTGGAATAACATATCTATAATTTATAAATGTGCTATAACTAGTTAATGAATGGACTTCACTGGAATATATAATTACTTGTTATAAAATGAATATGTTAATCAATTGAGGCAGCGTATTATTGTCAAAAAAGATAGTGTTAAATATTTTGAAACGGCAGGAAAGCATGAACCAAACTCCACTTGGAAAAGTAGGACTTTCAGCAGAGAGCAGCAGTTGTCTTTGCTCTGTGGGGCCGAGGGGGGCGGATGGCTGAGAATAGACAGTGTACTTGTCCTTGAGACATGACTGCCCGAGGATTCCTCATCTATATTCCCGGGACAGTCAAATATTTTAGCACGTCTGTTGGACAAGATGCTGGGTATTTTTTTCAGAGCCGCGGTGAGTCTATTGTTTTTTAGTCTATATGTATTTTAACTGCGTAAAAACATACATTAAGGTTACGTTTGGGTTTACGGCATCTGACTGAGTGGAGTGGGTGGGGCGCTGTACGGGACAACAACAATGTCACAATATTAGGTTAAAATGTAACTCGTGTTTCAGCACCGTAGGCAGTCAACACGTGGGGTGCTCTATTTATTATGGCAGAGTGTTAATTTGGAGTATTTTAGATGCCCTCCATTGTGAGATATTGTAAAACGTTAGCTTAGCGTAGCCGATAGCATAACGTTACCTAACTTGCTGCGCATGCTGCAAAAAAAGGGCATCTCGAAAAGCACTAGTAGTTTTATTTGAGTCACCCCTCAGTATAAGGCTATTATTTTCTTTATATTATTTGTAGTGGCATGTTTTGCTAATAACACACCAACAACGCTGTAACACGCAGTAGTCATAACCTTTTTTTTATTTTGAAAATGTGTACCGGAAGTTTTTTAGTGTATTCCAGAGGCTTGGCACAAATAAATTCAATTCATTTGCGTATTAACGTGAATGATTTATATTACTACTAAATACGTTAGTAGCCTATTGCCACTGCCACTTAATTTATGAATACTTGTGTTAAATCTGATTTCCCTCCAAATGTATTTTCCAATCGTATTATATCAGAAAAAAAACTTACTAGATAGTTGCCTAAGTTAGTAGTAAGCATGAGGACATATATTTCGTCCTTTCATGTGTGTTTGTATTAGCTATCATTGCAAAGGCTTAACTGTGTCAGCCTTCTATTTATAAGATGAGCTTATACCAGTGGGTCCGAATAAATAGTATGTCTGCTTCACTCAATTGTTTTTGGGGTTTTCTCACACCAAATCACCTTACTGTCTTTGTATGTATTTGCCTTTGTAAATTATTAGAAAAGTTGCGTACAACACAAAATCCTGTTCTTACTTGAACCCCTTGGCACAGAGTCATTTTCTATTTGAGGCTTTGATTGCATGCACTAAATATTTAAGAACATGTTGACACCTGAATTTGTGATGCAATATCAGTCAGCTCCTAAATCAAATGTATCTTCTGGGTCAGTCAAATTAAATGGTGCACTTTAATATAAAAGCAGTGAGCCTACAGTATTGCCATGTAGTCAGTTAAAATATTTGACCAAAGAGCAGTTGTGACACTTTCTTAGTGTTAGATTTTCTCATGTAATATTTTGCCTTTGTTACTTCCAATGGCAGAGGAGCATTTGTGCTTATTAAGACCGTGTTTTCCAGCTGCGGCCTGGTATGGTGAAGCCTTGTCGCCTGGTCAGACCAGTAACACAGATCCCAGAGAGGTCCCTCGTGCACCAGGAGGGTCTACCTAAGCTTCCTGTGCCGCCTTTGAAGCAGACATGTGAGCGATACCTGGCTGCTCTAGAGCCCATCGTGAGCGAGGAGGAGCTGGAACACACCAGGAACCTGGTGGAGGAGTTCCTCAAGGGGGGTGTCGGGGAAAGGCTGCAGAAAGGCCTGGAGCGACGGGCACGCAAGACAGACAACTGGGTAGATAACTGCGTTGATTTAGCTGGATTTTTTTGGTGTATTAGACATCTATATGTTTTTAATCCGCCTTGAAGACTGTAACATAAACATGCAATGGAAAATATATAGAAACATATTATATCCTTCTCTTTATTTAGCTGTCAGAATGGTGGATGCAGTCAGCCTATTTAGACTGCCGTATGCCAGTGGCGGTCTACACCAGCCCAGGGGTTGTCCTGCCTCGCATGCACTTCCATGATCGACAAGGACAAATGAGGTGAGAAACCAGAATCCACTGTAAAACCAGCCACAAGAATTAAGCTGTTTATGCTACTAAACAAATCTGTACAATCACAAAAAGAAGATCCCCTACTTCTAATGTGTGCTGTAAATTGATTGGGTTCCCTTAATATCAACTATAAACCTTTATTGTCTAATTGTAAGCAGAGTCATAAAGTTGTTTCTGAAAGTGATTTACATTGTGTTGAAGTCCAGTGTAAACATGCTCATATGAAGTTGGAGTTTCAGGCCGACCTTTGTGCAGGCTTCCCCCTCCATGCTGGCTATTTAAAGCCCATTGGCTGCACATAGCATTGCTCAGCTGTTTTTTACTTCTGTGACCCGAGGGATATGCAGTGAACACAGTGCTAGGGTTTTAGGTGTGCAGGGTACAGTAGGCTCACAATTTTATTAGGTAATGGCATTTGCTTGTAAAAATCCCCATTCAGAGATGATTACTGATCATTTATTTTGTGTTGTCTCATATGCACAGTGGCTTTAGAACATGAACACAAAGCAAACCATTGAACCAACATATCAATAACACAATGATATCTTCTGTGCAGGTTTGCTGCCAAACTGATTGCAGGAGTTTTGGACTTTAAAAAAATGATTGACACGTGAGTTTGCCTGAAGCTAAAAAAAATATCATAACAGAAAGGTCATTATCATCATGACATGATTTACAAAACATCACATGGATAATGTGAGGCGCTGTGTTACAGCAAGACCCTGCCTGTAGAGTACCTGAGTGGGAAGCCGCTGTGCATGGACCAGTATTACCAGATCCTTTCCTCCTGTCGTATCCCTGGTCCAAAGAGAGACACTGTTGTAAATCACACCATCGGAAAAAAATCTCCCACTCATATCACTGTGGTCCACAACTTCCAGGTACTCCAGATGGCACTGCTGTTCCTCTCCTTCTTTTACTTGTCAAGATTTTAGCTAGACATTTCAAAAACAAAACAAATATTGTAATGTTATTATCATTGTGCCTGAAGAAATTCTGGATACTGTATGAAAACGAACCTGACCTGGTTTTTCCCCCCAGTTCTTTGTCTTGGACGTGTACAACAGCGATGGCACCCCGCTGACAGTAGACCAAATTTACATGCAGTTGGAGAAGATCTGGAACTCCTCTTTGCAGACTAACAAAGAGCCTATTGGCATCCTTACATCACAGCACCGCAACACCTGGGGAAAAGCCTATAACAGCCTGATTAAGGGTGAGCAGAGTAGGGACAAAAACTGTGTAGAAATACTCAGTATCAACTAGATTTATTGTCTATTTTGAAGAAATATTGAAGAAGAGTATCTGAGTGTCAACATTTTATGGAAAATGTATTATACAATAAAGTTTGATCTTAAAGGCTACTATTTTCCTCCTCAGATAAGACAAATAAGGAGTCAGTCCGTGCCATCCAGAAAAGTATTTTCACAGTTTGTTTGGATGCCCCGATGCCACGGGTGTCAGATAATCTGTATCCGAGCCGCGTGGCGGCCCAGATGCTGCATGGAGGAGGAGCTCGCTGGAACAGCGGCAACCGCTGGTTTGACAAGACATTACAGGTCAGCTTGGGGCAGTGTGACATCTAAAATAATACACAGTTCTGTGATAATGGTTGAGAATTTGAATGCACTTGTAACCTGTCCTCAGTTCATTGTTGGTGAAGACGGTACATGTGGACTGGTCTATGAGCATGCTCCTGCTGAGGGTCCCCCCATTGTGTTTCTCATCGATTACGTCGTTAAATACATGTAGGTTTCTTTCTATTTTCAGATGAGTGTTTTCCCCATTTTCAAATGAACACAAATTGACCAAGTGTTTCATATTTTTACAGACAGAGAACTGAAATGGTTCGCTCTCCCATGGTTCCCCTGACCATGCCTCGGAAACTGCGTTTCAACATTACACCTGAAGTCAAGAGAGACATTGAGAAAGCCAAACAAAATATGAACATGTATGTAAAGTGGAGTTATTATGATTAATATTATTGTCTCAGCCTTGATGTCAGACATTTAGTTGAACTCACTCATATCTTTGTTTCCTTAGAATGGTGCATGATTTAGATGTAAAGGTGCTTATGTTCTCTCATTTTGGAAAAAATGTGCCAAAGCAACATAAGCTGAGTCCTGATGCGTTTGTACAAATGGCTCTTCAACTTGCCTACTTCAGGTGAGAAGTCCATTTTTGTAGGCAAACATGCTAGACATACACATTAAGTGTATTAAATTATACACTCTGTGTGCTGTTTTTGAATTCCAGGATGTATAGTATTTGCTGCTCTACCTATGAGAGTGCATCCTTACG